AAAAATGAGTCACTACAGTGGTGATGGTGGTGGTTCAGTGTTCACTTCTTGCTTACTATTTGCCATTGCCGATGAATATGTGCTGAGACGAAAAAGGTGACTTGTGGACCAGAAGAGATCATTGGAACTGCTCGAACAGTCACACTGAAAGAAAGAGAGGGAGAAAAAGAGAAGGAGACAAGTAGAGACACAGTGATAAAAGGTCTACTGTCAACGACTGCACCTGCCCGGTGATTGGGTTGCACAGTGCTGCTGTTGTTGCGGCAGTGCTGCCTCGCTTTGCCCGCTTTGATGCTTTGCCCATTCGGTGTCTGACTCGTCTGCTGTGCATGACTTGCACTGCCGAACGGTGCTCTGAGAACGCTGTACAGCAGCGGTCATCCACTGGACTGCAATCACGGCAGCACCAGCGGCCTCTCATAGTTCAATCAAGAGAAGAGAGGAGAGGGGGCCAAAAAATGGCGAGTACAGAGGGCTGCGTAATCAGCTCGGCCAGTCATCCTTTGCCTTGATCTTCCAATCAGTAATATATCTGCCTATAAATACTTGCCAGTTCTGTTTACCATCACTTGATGAGTGCCGTCAGTGAGCCACCACCTTCTATACTATGGTCAACGTTGCACCGCTTCTACCGGCGCTCGTACCGCTGGCCACCCTTCTCTGGATCCGCGCCGCCGACCACTCAGTGTCCATATCGAGGAATAGCTGGGATCATGAGTACGATTACATTGTCGGTATGTTCGCTTCTTTCTTTCTTCTCTACACTTCTTCATTCTCCCACTTATTTACTTGCGCCAACAGTCGGTGGCGGTTCAGCAGGAGCGGTGATGGCGAGTCGACTATCGGAAGATCCCACCATGAGAGTGCTACTACTTGAGGCAGGCGGATCGGAGAACATCTTTTCGGACATTCCACTGGCGGCGGCAACACTACAAATGACACCCATAGACTGGGCATACCAGACTGAACCTCAGGAAGCATCGTGTTTTGGTCTCATCAACAGGGTATGCGTGCATCGACGCTAACTTTAATTTCTTTTTCATCATCATCATCATCTTTATCTGCCCCTCACAGCGGAGTCGCTGGCCTCGTGGTCGCGTTCTTGGCGGTTCTTCAGTGCTCAACTACATGCTCTACGTTCGCGGCAACAAGAGAGACTACGACAACTGGGCTGCAAACGGCGCCTACGGCTGGAGCTGGGAAGAGGNCCTCACAGCGGAGTCGCTGGCCTCGTGGTCGCGTTCTGGGCGGTTCTTCAGTGCTCAACTACATGCTCTACGTTCGCGGCAACAAGCGTGACTACGACAACTGGGCTGCAAACGGCGCCTACGGCTGGAGCTGGGAAGAGGTACTGCCCTACTTTATGAAGTCCGAAGATAACCGTGACCCTTCCATAGTCAGGAATGGGTACCACGGTGTGGGCGGCCTTCTCACCGTCTCAAGTCCGCCCGACTCTNAGGTACTGCCCTACTTTATGAAGTCCGAAGATAACCGTGACCCTTCCATAGTCAGGAATGGGTACCACGGTGTGGGCGGCCTTCTCACCGTCTCAAGTCCGCCCGACTCTACGCCTGTATCGATTGCTTTTCCCGAGGCGGGCAAGTTCCTGGGGTACCCCAATGTGGACGTGAACGGTCCCTACCAGTCAGGCTTTGCCATTCCTCAGGGCACCGTCCGCCGAGGGGCTCGCTGCTCCACTGCCAAGGCCTTTCTCGGCTCTGCCCGTGACCGTCCTAATCTGCATGTGATCACCTTCGCCTACGTCACCAAGGTGCTCTTCAATGACTTCAAGCGCGCCGTCGCCGTACAGTTTGACCGCTTCGGACTGACGCACGCCGTCTACTCGCGCAAGGAGATCGTCATCTCTGGAGGGAGCATCAACTCCGCTCAGCTGTTGATGCTCAGCGGCGTCGGACCGAAGGACCACCTCGAGGCACACGGCATTCCCGTCATTGCCGACCTGCCCGTCGGACTGAATCTCCAGGATCACATTTACCCAGGTGGTGTTCACTTTACCTTTGAGGGCAAGTTCTCCTTTGTCCAGCGACGGATAGTTTCACTGCCTAACCTCATCAGCTACTTTGCCTCGGGCCGAGGTAAGTACAACAATTTTTTAATTCTATTATGTCCTGCTGTTTAGCTGAAAACGGACGCACTTTAGGTGCTGAACAAACGGTCGCATCACTACTTTCTCTCTGCTGTCGATTGCGTCTGCCTTCCTTTTCAATTCGCCCTAGCCGGCAGTATACCTATCAATCAATCAATCACCGCCGATACGCTTTAGGTTTGGCTGCTCTTCCTCTTCAACCTCTGTGCGCTTAACTTTCCAATTAGCCCGCCAGTATCTGCAAGCGAGTCACTGTTAATCTCTGGATATACAACAACTGCACTCTTCGTACACCTTGTTATCGGGCAGCCTCAGCAGCGTCGTTTCCAATTTCAGGCACAGTTTAAAATTAGCATTTAGCAAGTAACCACTGGGCAAATTATCACAGTGCCAGACAGCGCTCTCTAATTGCCCCCTGGCGTACTTTGTTGCCATGCACCAACTTGCATGCTCGAATCAATCTCAATCTGTCGGTGTTTGTGACCGCTCTTTACATTGACTCTTTTTCTTTGAATGGCCGCTGGTCTACTTGCCTCGGACTACTCTAAATTAGGCTGCTTATCGCTGAATGCTGTTGCTTCTTTGCCTCAAACGGCCTGCCCACGGCGGTACAAGTTCTAGTGCTGCTCGTCTCTTCTACACAGTGAAAGTGTCAAGTTGGCGGCAACGACTCTGATGGTGATGGTCAGTGGATTATCAGTGGCCGACAACAGTGGCGGACCACGCTGATTGCCATCTGCAGTCCCATTATACGCAAACACACATCGATGGCACAGCACTGCAGTCGATCTTCAGTTTTTGGCGGACTCTAGCCCACTGTGTCGTTCCACTTGACACTGCAGTCAAATCACTCTCGGTCGATGTCACTGTTGCGCTAATGAGGCAGTTATGTCTCCTGTTGCTTCTGTTCTTTTTGGCCACTATTTTTTTGTTTCCAAATCGGGTTATGTTTCGCCTGAGTGGTCAATATGAGAGAAGCTTCATGCTGCTCATACACACACGGAGATGTCTCACTGGCCGTTTATCATCTCCGACCTCTTCTCTACTTTTCTCTCGCCTTTGTTGGCCACGTCGTAGATGAACTGTTGGATAAGCAGCTCGACAAATTTGCCAAAATCGTCAGCGACAGCTGCTCTTCGCTGCCAAGTGCACCTGATCGCTCTCGCTGATTAACGGCACTGAGTGATTTGCTCTTGTTTTTAGTTACCTCTTTTAGTTACCTGCTGATGATGTTTTGCTTGCTGATGTGTTGCGCCGTGTGTCGCGCTGGCAGTGGCAAAACAAGATCATCAGTGAAGAAGGACACTGAGACAAACTGGAAGTAGCTGCTTTCACTTGTATTGTAGTCAATGTTTCACTTAATGTCGGTTCTATTTACGGCACTTTCAAACGGGAGGAGAAGCTGTCAGTGTGGCTACTTTAATACCGTTACCTTTTCTATCTAGTTTTCCCAGCTTTCTCACAGCTTTCTTCTCTAACACTTTTTTCTCGCTTTTCTCGTTTTCTACTCTTGCCACCGCATCTCATTCCTCTTCTCTTCTTTTCTCTCTTCAGGTCCAATGACAACTTTTGGCGGAGTGGAGGGCCTTGGCTTCATCAAGTCAAAGTATGCTAATCACTCTGACGACTATCCCGACTTTGAGATTCACATGGTAACTGGCGGACCGACCTCTGACGACGGGCAGACCTTTCGTCGTGTGCAGGGTTTCACTAAGGAGCTCTGGCAGCAGGTGTACGAGCCGTACATAAAATTCGACACCTTTAGCATGTACCCAGTGCTGTTGCGTCCTAAATCGGTGGGCTACATCAAACTGCGCTCTGCCAATCCCTACGACCCACCGATCATTGATCCGCGCTACCTGACGCACCCAAAGGACATTCTCTCGATGGTCGATGCCATGAAGATATCGGTTGCCGTTGGTCTGACGCCGCCGTACCAGGCGATGAAGGCACGACTCTTTGAGACCGTTTTTCCCGGTTGTGAGCACTACCGAATGTGGAGTGACGAGTACCTGGCCTGTGTGGCCAGGACCTACACTGCCACCATCTACCATCCAGTTGGCACGTGCAAGATGGGCGCAAAGCACGACCCAACTGCCGTCGTTGACCCTGAGCTGCGAGTCCTCGGTGGCGTCAAGGGACTTCGTGTCGTTGACTGCTCAGTTATGCCAAAAATTGTCTCCGGGAACACCAATGCTCCGGTTATTATGATTGCCGAAAAAGCCGCAGATATGATCAAGGGAGTTAACTTACCGAGGTATGATGGCTCTGCG